GGTGAGCTTTTTCGGGTAGAAATGGCTTTCTACCCGGAAATGCTCACCGGAAGCGCTGGCGCCATCTTTTTTGATGAAAAAGCGCTTCTGGTGAGCTTTCTACCCGGAAAAGCTCACCGGAAGCACTTTTTTACCAAAAAAAGATGGCGGCGCCCAGCAACCAGCGGCCCGGTAAGGCTTGTTCCGTGGCCCGGTACCGGTCCGCGGACCGGCGGTTGGGGACCCCTGATGTAATGCTTTCTGTGATGATATGACCCCTATTACACACTAGGTTAGGTATGCTATGTTGGTGGGTTGGGCATGGCAAAGAACCTACTTCATCTATAACAGAAGAAAACTTATATGGCTTATATTTTAATTCCTAGAAACCTGTTTCCACCCCTCTCAAGCTACCCCTACTGCACCAAATACACTTCTGTACATACACACAAACACACACATTCCTTGCAAATAAATTGGAAAGTGGAAATACACCAGGAAGTCTAATCTCTAAATGTGTTTAGAAGTTCAAATTACATCATCCACATCCATCTCCACTTGACTATATTCAGAAATTCATTACATTTTGCAATTCTGTCATACTGCTATTCCTTTCCACATTTTTTTTCAAATAATCAGAACCTGGCATCATCTAACTGAAATCCATTGTGGGCTAATCGAGAACATCTTCTTCTTCTCTTTTTTTTTTGCTTTCATAGTGTCCCTCTGAGTCTTTTGTTTTTAAGATTCAACATTTCCAGTTCATTTAGTTTCTTTTTATAAACCTTCATTGCTGGATTTGTGCACATCCTCATGTCCCTTCTTTAAATCTATTCGCTAAATCTATCTCTGACAGCAATATCTTGAATTGGACCCAATACATGCAGTGGAAGCTGCATTAGTATAAAGTACTTTGGAATCATTACTTTCTGCAATTTAAATACTATACTTTTGTCATTGCAGTATGAAATTGTATGTATGTATGTATGTATGTATGTATGTATGTATGTATGTATATATTGCAGCCATATCATATTCACAGTCAAATATCCCTTTTGCCTTTTATCCTAACTGATGTTCTTGCCATTTGTTTCTGTGAAATGTCTCAGTGTTATTTGTAACCCATTTCTTTAACCTATCAAATTCCTATTTGGAATTTTCTCTCTGCCTTTTAAGGTATTAGCTGTCCCACCAAAATTGTATCATCTTCAAATTTGATTATAAGCATTCCTTCCACCACTTCATCCAGTTCATCAAACACAATTTTCATGTACGGAGAGGCATAGGTCTCCCATACAGATAGAAAAACACAAAAATAGTGAAGAGAACAAGAGATTCATCTGTAAGTCAATAAGAAAATAATAACCAATAGCACCGATGCTCTGAGCCAATGTGGTGTAATGGTGGAGGTGTTAAACTGCTCTGGACTATAGTTAAAGGGCAACTGAGAGAAATATTATGTATACCACCTTGAGCGCCTAAATAAAAGTTGGGATATAATTATGACAGCAGTATAGATTATTTGTGTGTGTGTGTGTGTGTGTGTGCTTCTGTACTTCACAGATTTTAAAACCCAACTTCTTTTAACAATAAAGAAATCTCTACATTAGCCTATAGATTGTATAATGTTATCTCTCAAAAAGGTTTACTAAGCTCTCTTTCTTCCTGTCTTCCTGTTCTCAAAAAAATCTTTTATAATTAGTTGTTTTATTTCTACTAAACTTTTTATAAGCTTCTCTGAAGTGTAAATTCTATAAACAAGAGGCCAACAGAGGCTAACTCAAATACTTTTGCTGTGTTACACTGTTGGTCAAAATCAGAACATCCCTACCACTGACTGATTATAATTCTTCATTTCTTATTTCAAATCCACCCAGTCTTAAATTGCACCTTTGTGTTGTCCTTCAGTGCCTTTTTTATCTCTTCCTTCCCATAATGACATATGATCTAATAAAATCTAATAAAAGCATTGCAGATGTCATTGTAGCAATGCAAAAGCAAATATTCACAGAACCACAACAAACAGACACAACATAAAAAGAATATAGTTAAGAAAAGAATTAAAATAGGCACAAAATTAGACGTAGAAAGTAAACCAAAAATTGTGCAAACAAAATGTTCTGGTCAAGCCCAAATATCTTTTACTATTGTGCAAGCAATATAAGCTTAAATATAAGTCAACAGTGAAAACACGTATTTGTTATGAGTAGATGCTGCAATCTCATAAAACTTGTAGAAACTGACAGTACAATCAATGACAAATTCAACATTTCATTGGATGTGGTTAAATTTTGTATACACCAATAATTTTGATTGATTTAATATTTTTTTGAGAAATCAACAAATTATCATATACGAAGGGCTTGAAGCCTCACAGCCACCTCACTTTTAGTCATTTCTGATCCTTTTTTCTCAGGATTGGTTAGGCATTTCGGTTTCAGATTCATAGGACCAGTAAATGATTTTCCTTTATAACTCATTTAATACCAATGATAAACTTATCTAATGAGACGGAAATCAGAAGAGTCTTAATGCTCTTCTTTTCACAGATATCCACAATGTGTATTTGCATTTGTGTGTGGGTGTAGATCTGCATCATGATGTTATCATATGAATGATGCAGCACTGATGATTTCATCAGAGTTTGTGACACAAATTATATATCCATCTCATTTGTATTATGTCATCTTGACATAGGTGTCACCATTTTGATTTCATTGCAGCTTGTCATGGATGCCTGTGATTCTTATCTTCCCTCCACTTTGGCATAAACATGCTGATTAATCTTTTTTATATACCACATCCTCATGATATTTCATTCGACTCACTCCTAGCCTACTTGGGCTATCACTTCTAGCTTTCCTAATTTTAAGATAACGTTTCTCCTCTTTTTTCAACCCTTTTTTCAACTCTTTCAACCCTTTTTTTCAACTCTTTTTTGCTGTGGACAAGATGTGGATCAACTCACAGACTATGTAGCTGTTGACATTGGCAGGAGCTACAATCTGTTCAGCTGCAGCTATTTTCGGCAGCAGCAAGAATAAACCTTCCCAAAGGAAAATTAGTTTTCTTATACTTTTACAGAGGGCTGAACTAGATGAAACTTCTAGTTCTTTCCAACTCCATGCTATGCTGTGATTCCACAATGCTGGAGATTATCCTCATGGCATTTTAGCTCAGGCTAAAGAAGAAACTGGACATCTGGTTTCTGTAAAGGCAGTTGCCTGATTGGTGCCTTTTGAAATGCCTGTTAAAGTCTTCCATGGGTCCCTTATATAGTGGTGGGATTCTACCAGTTCACACCTATTCGCTAGAATCAGTTGTTAACATTCTAAGCAGTTCGGAGAACCAGTTGTTAGAAGAAATTACTGGCCTAATCCTGTAAGGAAGGCAGGAAGGAAACATTCTGATGTTGCTTACAGAAACTGCCTCTCCATTAACCCTTATTACATGCTTGGCAGGACTAGACTTCCTGTCTCAGGAATGTTTCTGGAGTTTTTTTTCCCCCTCCTTTGCTGGTACTTTGCTTGTGTGGAGTGACCATTCAAAGTTACAGTGGCACTGAAAAAAGTGACTTATGACCATTTTTCATACTTACAACTGTTGCAGCATCCCCACAGTCATGAGAGGCCAGGCGAGGAGATGCGTGCCTCAATGTGAGTGATATTGAGTTGGCCACACCCAGCCAATAACATGACCACCAAGCCATGTCACCAAGCCACACCCACAGAACCGGTTGTTAAAAAAATTTGAATCCCACCCCTGCCCTTATAGATGCACTCTTGAAAAGCATGAATTCTGTGTTGTACAATATACTGATTTAAACAAGGAAATATAGCCAGGTTCTTACAGATGTCTGTCACTGGTGCTATCCAAAGTGAGGGAATTACAGAGTTTCTGTTTTTGCCCACAAGGAATTTTTATTAGTGGGAGTGGGGTTGACACTATTTTGCTGTTCATATGTTGAATTGCCTATCTACGGACTATTTCCAGATGCTGCTAGCCATGGCTATTCATAGCAAGAACTGCTATTCCCTTTCAGCACTACTTGAGGATGAAACCTTTGAAAAATATTTTAAAAATAGTAGATGCAGAACTCTGTAAGTCTACGTCCCCCCAAAGGAATAGAGTGGTAGTGCATTCTGTATTCTGTGAAGAGTTTCCAAGCAGTAGGATGTGGTAACATATCAGAGGTGGTATTCAGCAGGTTCTGACCAGTTCTGGAGAAATGGTAGTGGAAATTTTGAGTAGTTCGGAGAACTGGCAAATACCACCTCTGACTGAGATTTTACAGTATCCTGCCACGCCCACCAAGCCATGCCCACAGAACTGGTAGTAAAAAAATTTTTGAATCCCACCACTGTAACATATGTTTCTTCATAGCAGTAGCACAGTCAGCACAGAAGCAAAGTATTTCTGTTTTAGAATATCTTGTTGCTACTTTGATGGTTGCATCATGGAAAGGAAGAAAGATGCATGCAGCAGATAGATAAAAAATAGTAATGTGGTTGGGCTAATTGATTTTTAGTGAAATATTTTTTCTTTTTACTGTACTGTTCACTCAACTTCTTGCTTCAGTCTGCCCTCTCCTACAGCCTCCAGCCTCCAAATTAATAGCTTCCCCATTTACCAATAGGGAAAAAAAATTCCCCAAAATGAGTGCTGTATCTTCATTCCCACATAGTGAAGTGTAAATGTTTTTTTCTATATGTTCCTTTCTTCCTGGCAATGTATCTAGTCATTTACAAGTTGCACCAAGCAGGATGTGCTCTGGTAAATGGTAGAAAACCCAGATATAAGTGCCATGACAGTGACCTGAGGTCTTTTTTCAAATATCAAGGCCATGTTCCGCTAATGAACAAGGGGGACAAAATATTTCAGAATACATTCTGTAACCCAATGCTTTTTTTTCTTCTGTTCAATGTTTCAGCCAACCTGGTCCCAGAGAAAGTAACCCACACAATCAGTCTTTCCCAATCAGCCATACTTGTTGCCAGGATAAAGAATGGGAAGAAAACAGATATCTGGTGGAAAAGGAATGGCAAGTACTCCCATCATCTAACTGCATGTCTGTGATAAGATCTGATCTTTTTCCAAGATATCCAACTCTTTCTTGGAAAAACTCTTCAAGCTTGATTTTCTCTGCTGATATACAACTTTTATATTCTTAATAATGATTCAAGACCCAGATGTTTTTATGTTTTGTTTGTTTATGTTTGTTTTTAAAAACTAATAAATTTTTTTAAAAAAGACCCCAAAGAGTTTTGGTTTGTGGAGGTTATATCTATTGATATTCACTGAATTAGGAATTAAAACTGAGAAAAGTTAAAATATTTCTTTATTTCACTTCGTGGAGTCCCTGCAAGAGTTTTGGGGACACACACACATATACACACAGACAGGAGTCCGCGGACCACACTTTAGAAACCACTGTGCTATAGATGGGGGGAGTACTTTGGGGACATTTCTCTGCAGACCACCAAAATTTTCTCGCAGACCACCAGTGGTCCCCAGCCCACTGGTTGGCGATCACTGCTATGGAAGCCATTGATCCATTATGAATGATCATCCACGCATGGATCTATTTATTGGCTTCAAAATGGGAGCCTTGGACTTGCTTAGTTCCTCTACTATTTTACCTGCCTTCCTAATAGCAAACATCCAACTGCATGGCCCTTTCATACCTCTGCATGCAAATCATATTCCAAAAGATGTATCTCTATTTCAGTAGTATTTCTTTGTTGTTCAGCCTTGGCTTTTTCCATTTTTCTTGCTTCTTTCTTTCTTTCATTTTTTTTGTGCAGGGACTTACTATGACACGATGCACCAGGGTGAGTTAAAGGACAGTAAGTCCATTCTGGTCCTGTCATCAGTTACCATGGGTGATGGTGGGATTTACAGCGCCACATTTATAGAGGACAGCCCTTTGTCAAGTGCCTTCTTCAGACTGATTGTACGAGGTGAGACTGTGCATACCTAACACAACCATTTAATGTTTCCTAACATATTTTTGTGGATTCGTCTTCTTAAAGAGATTCGTCTTCTTAAAACTGCATCTCCCAACCTACTGCTCAAAAACTATATGAACCAATCTCCCTTATTAGTCAAGAATGTTGACAGCATAGTTCTAAACATTAGAGGTTTTCCAGACTAAGAAAAAATATTATCAGATGGGTATTTCTAAAAAAAAACAATGCTTTTCTCTTTTTACCAATTGTTCAGAAAGAATATTTTAATGGTTTGATCATCTAGAGAGGGCTGTAAAGCACTATAAAGTGGTATATAAGTCTAAGTACTAGTGCTATTGCTGTCTTCATTTGCAAAAATGCCCTTTTGTATGCAACAGAGACAAGGAAAAATTTAACTCATCCATTTTGCCAGAAATGCCTGATACTATATTCTACAACCAATGATTGTAGGAATTGAAATCCAATGAATCTGGAGGGCATTGATGGAAAATAAATCCTGTCCTATTTTTATTTAATGCATGATATGACATAACTATTTTTAAATTTTTCTGTTTTCTCCAACCCCTTCAAGTAGTTGCTTATAAAATCAAGCAGGACAAAGCTGAATGAGATTACCGTATGTTTTTTGTAATATTTATCAAAGCAGTCAGTAAGCATTGCAGCCTACAGGTAGTCCTCAATTTACAACCATTTGTTTAGTGGCTGTTCAAAGTTACAACAGCATTGAAATATGTGACCTATGACTGACTATTTTTCACACTTACAACTGTTGCAGCATCCCCATGGTCATGTGATCAAAATTTGGGTGCGTGGCTATCATTTATATTTATAACAGTTGCATTGTCCCAAGGTCATGTAATCTCTTTCTGACAAGCAAAGTCAATGGGGAAACCAGATTCACTTTACAGCCAGGTTATCAACAGAACAACTGCAGTGATTCACTTAACAACTTGGCAAGAAAGATCATAAAATAGAGCATAATTCATTTAACAATTGCCTTGCTTAGCAACAGAAATTTTGGGCCCAATTGTGGGTGTAGCTCAAGGAATACCTGTATTTTGTTATTATATATAGGCAATTCACAAATAAATACACATCACTCAGCGTCTTATGATTTGATGACACATCAAATCACCATGATCACCATGATTTAACAGATAATCAGAGTTGGAGGGACCTTATAAATCATCTAGTCCAACCCCCCACCCAAGCAGGAGACCCTACACCATTTCTGACAAATGGCAGCCCAATCTCTTCTTGAAAGACTCAAGTGATGGCGCTCCCACAACTTCCGAGGTCAAGCTGTTCCATTGGTTGATTGTTCTCACTGTCAGAAAGTGTCATGTACCTGGTGGAGACTGACTCTGAGGGAGAGGAGGAACAGCCAACAGGGAGTGGAAGTGTGGCTCCAGAGGTTGTGGAGGAGGCTGGGGAAGGGCAGAGGGTGGCTGAGCAGTCAGAGGAGGACCCAGGCCCATCCCCTATCCATCCCAGGTCATGCAGGGAGGAGAGGATAAGGGAGAGACGTGGTCTCCTCGGGAGGAGAGGGCCTTGATTCTCTTCATGGGCTGCAGGTGTGACAACTGAATAAGAGTTTGAACCTGCATACTGGCAAATGCTGGAAACAAATCGTGTAAATATCTCTTGTTTATAGTTGCTCTCTGAGTTTGGCATCCTTCCCAGTGTGTGTTATCTGTGGACATCCTCCAGCCCTTATTTTGCCTAGTTTGTGTTGCTCTTTTCCTTCTTCGTGTAACTGTGTGGGAGTTTTTTGTCTTCTGTCAAAGATATTCAGAGCTTGAAAGCAAACTGAAGGAATAAAAGGGGCTTCACCTGTTTTCTGTGACTGTGTTTGTTTTGTATCCCATCACAGAAAGTTTCTCCTTATTTCCAGGTTGAATCACTCCTTGTTCAGTTTCCATCCATTATCCCTTGTCTGGCCTACAGGCGCTTTAGAAAATAGCTTGACTCCTTCCTCTCTGTGGCAGCCCCTGAAATATTGGAACACTGTTATCATGTCTCCCCTGGAAACTGTCTTTCCCTGTGGGATGTGTTCCAGATATGCTGGGAGTGCGCCTACCATTCCCAAATAGCATGGCCAGTGAAGGACATTCATTTAGGAAGCACTGATGTAAAGAAATCTGAATAAAAAATGATTGTTAGGCTGACCTGAAGCCTGTTTTTAACACACAAGTCATTTCCTGAGGTTGTTGCTAGAGATAGAGCACACAACGATGAAATTATACTTAAATGTTGTGAGTGACTCTACTGTACCTTTTCCTCTCTGGTGTTGTCTGGAAACTTCTTGTCATTATTCTTCCTGTCTCTCCAGGTTGTGCAGCCAAGAAATGGGGCTCATTTTGTGACAAAGACTGTCCTGATTGCTTAAATGGAGGCATCTGCCATCACATTGTGGGAGAATGTATCTGTCCTCCAGGATTCATGGGTACCCGCTGTGAAAAAGGTTAGAAATCATATGTCATTGTTCTAGAGCAGGGGTGTCCAACCTTGGCAACTTTAAGACTTGTGGACTTCAACTCCCAGAATTCCTCAGCCAGCAAAGGTTGGACACCCCTGTTCTAGAGTAAATGGATGTTCCTGAGCCATGAACTGAACTTGACAATCAGGAACTTCTTTATTATAGTAGTTTTCATGGGCTGCAAGGAATATGCCTGGTGATTAAATACAATAGTGGGGACCAGGATTGAGAGTTTTGTGTCTGTTTCCCCTGCTTTTTCCCCGGCTTAAGGGCCATGAAATCTAAAAATATATGTACCAAGATTAACATACCTGCTTTTGAGTTTTAAATAATGGCTCAGTGGACCCGATCTGCAATTACATCAGGATAAACATTTCTTTTTGCATCAACAGCATATGATCACCAATGGCCCAGGCAAAGGAAGTGTCCATCTTTGAAGGACCTTCACTGGAAAATTGATGAGGGGCCAAAAATTGAGTGACTTCCTGTCTTTTTTTTTTTTTTTTTGTACATTTTGCAGACTGGAGAAAACCTGAATCAGTGATATCATAGATAGAATACCCTGATCTCCTCTGTTTTAATTTCTTTCCTGGCTGATTGCAGGTGGGAAAGAATGAGGGAGGGAATAAAATGAATCGCAAGAGAAGGATATATAGTGTATGGGTGTCTGCCTGTGTGCACGGGCGGGTATATATGTACACACACACACACACACACACACACACATTATTTTAGCCATTGTCTATCCCCTGTATGATGAAGGCCTCTTCTGCATGTTTCCAACCAGTGTGGTCCAGAGCTTTATTTTGCCAATTGGGCTCACAGCACACATACATATACATACATACATTCATACATACATACATACATACATACATACATACATACATACATAC